TCAAACATGCCAACCATCACGACTCTGGACCTGGCAGTGCTTCCTTCTGTTATACATAAGGTAGGAGCTGACTCAATGGCAACTAACAACAACTATATATATATATATGCTATAAATTGTGTCCATAATCATGTATCGTCTCATTGGGTCCTTATAAGGACCCTAGGAAGCAGGCAAAATAAGGCACATTGTAGAGATGAGGAATGATGATGGAGGTGAGGGATCCCAGAAGTGGAAGTGCTGAGATGGGAGCAGAGTCCCCTGACTCCAAATGATAGCCTTCCTCTTGGCTTACCCTCAGCAGTGCTCTATTTCTCTGCTTGAAACTTTTGACCCAACATTGAGATGGTTTAAGGAAGGAGAACAGAAATGCCATGAGTTATAGTTCTACCTACAGTTGTGACATGTTTCACACTTAAAATCAAATCACAGCAAAAACCCTGTACACAAGTCCACGAGGGACAGTTACGGCTGCTGCATGTGATTGCTGGATATTTCTGATGAGACTGGCTGAAGATAAAGAAGTTCACACCATGGAGCTGAAACAAACATCTCTCTCTGTCTGTATCTCTCTCTCTCTCAATATAAGGCCTTAAATTTCTTAAGGTAAATTTGTTTTTCGAAGAAGCCAATTTCTTTGCATAATTATCACTGTAAGTCTGCTGTGTAGGCACTAATTGCCAGTTATTACTTTGGAAGACAAGGAGGATCACTGGCATAGGTGAGACTGTGAAGCTGTAGCACTTCTGAGGTCCATTTGGTTTCCATTCTTTCTGATTTACCCACTTGTTAGCAGAGCAGAATTCATCCATTTGTTTCAGATTTTTTTTTTAATTCATAGATTACTTTTAAAAAAGAGATTTTATTTATTGTAGCCTTGTCAACTTTTGAAAATTTTGAAAAAAATTTAACAACTGAAGAGGAGCAATTATGCAAACTTATGAACTTGAACCATGTCTTTTGATTGAATGAAAGTTTCTCAGAGTAAAGACAGGTAACTCCATGACTTACTGGATTCATTGGAGAATTTTCTGCTATTCCAGTAGAGGGATTTATCCCCTTTATAAAGACAGAGTCCCTGGGTGGTACAAATGGTTAACACACTTGGCTGCTAGCTGAAAGATTGGAGATTTGAGTTGACACAGAGGCAGGTGGCTCAGAAGCAAGACCTGGCAACCTATTTCCAAAAAATCAGCCATTCAAAACCCTGTGGAGCACAGTTATACTCTGACACATATGGGGTTACCGTGAGTCAGCGTCAACTCAATGGCAACTGATTTTTTTATAAAGCCACCTGTTTAAAAGCTGGTGGACACTCATGGTGTTTTCATGCCAGCTAAGGTGGCATTCATTGTCTAGCAGGTGGCAACTGAGAAGACTTTCAGCTTGGTTCTAATCATAATGACTGCCATGAATTAAGAGCTGACAACATGCCAAGTACCATCCCAATAACCTACAAGATATGAGTACTTCTATCTTCACTTCAAAGATGGGGAAACTGAGACTCATCCCAGGACCTGGCAGAATGAGGGATCAGCTGAGATCACCTGTTCCTATGTCTATGCTCCTAACCACCCTACCCCATGGCAGTCTTCATTTCCAGATTCTCAATACTTTTTACTTTATTTGCCTTTTATGCAAATATAACGTTTGTTTAGAATTTACTTCCTCCCCAGTGCCTCCCAACTATCCCTACCTTTTCTTTCTAGCTGCCAGCAACTCCACATTCAAACCCTTTTGATCTCAGAGGTAATATGCAGTGGCCTCGTTATTGCACCTCCTCTCATTCCACCGTCAGAATGATCCTCCTGCAGCAGTTCTGCTCAGGACGCTGCCATGCTCAGAAAACTCCCTGGGCTTCTCAGTTGCCACCCAAAGAAAGCCATGTCATCATAGAATTTGAAAAATTAAGGTAACCTTAGAAATTTTTACATTTATTCTCCTAATTCTGTGGTTGAGGGACTGATAGCAGTCAGATTCGGACACTAGCCTGATGTCCCACTTCAAGGCTGTGACAGAAATAGAAATGAATGGCGTTCCTGTGCTCAGGGCAGTCTTGATCTGCTCTTCTAAACCTCCATGCTGCTGCCCCATATGCCTGGTGCTGTTGGCTCTCTGTGGCACCTTGCACCGGTCAGTCACCCTTAGCCATCTTTGAAGTCTTCGTCTACAGCACGGGAGGATAATAGTTCTTGCTTCATAGTGTTGTGGTAAAGACGAAATAAAGCGATGCACACAAAATGCCTGATACCTCCCTGGGGTTTGGTAAATGGATCCTAATCCACTTCAGAAGTGATCTCTTGCTATTATTCCTCTAATTCCCATAGTATTATTATTATTGTGCATTATTGTGTTGGTGGACATGTCTCATCTCCCCCTCTAAACTGTAAGAAGCTTGAGGGCTTGGAATCCTGTCTTATTAATTATCTATCTGCCATAGATAATCATCTACCGTAGAGTTTCTAAGGAGTGGCTGGTGGATTGGAACTGCTGACCTTTTGATTAGCAGCTGAGCTGTTAATCCCTGCACCACCAGTGCTCCCTATCTAACATAGGATCTGGCAAAAAATGGAAAAACAATACTGTTCAATGAATGAAAAAGTTAAATTTCAACTCAAATAAAATTATTCCCATGAAAATAGCATCACCTCGTATGTGATACTAGTTGCTGTTGAGTCAACTCTGACTCATGGCGACCCCATGTGTGTCAGAGTAGAACTGTGCTCCATAAGGTTTTCAGTGGCTGGTTTTTTGGAAGTAGATCACCAGGCCTTTCTTCTGAGGCACCTCTAGGTGGACTGGAACCTTTTGGTTAGCGCCTGAGCATGTTAAACATTTACCCCATCCAGGGACTCCTCATACAAGATAGATGTTGTCTATAAGAAGAGGGCTCTCTCAATGAAATGCCTAATCAGTGAATACAGTCGTGGGCATTTTTACTAATTCTTTTTTTTTTTTAAATATTTTTTATTGTACTTTAGATGAAGGTTTACAGAGCAAACTAATTTCTCATTAAACAGTTAATACACATATTGTTTTGTGACAGTGGTTACCATCCCCACAACATGTCAACACTCTCCCCTTCTCGACCTTGGGTTCCCCATTACCAGCTTTCCTGTCCCCTCCTGAATTCTCATCCCTGCTGGTGTGCCCATTTAGTCTTATTTTGTTTTATGGGCCTGTCTAATCTTTGGCTGAAGGGTGAACCTCAGGAGTGACTTCATTATGGAGCTATGAGGGTATCCAGGGGCCATACTCTCGGGGCTTCTCCAATCTATGTCAGACCAGTAAGTCTGGTCTTTGTCATTTTTACTAATTCTTCTTAAAATTGGGAACACTCAATTTTAATATGTTTTGAGAACTCATCATTACCTTGTGTGACTACCTAGTATTCCATTGTATGTGTATACCACATTTTGTTTATCCATTCATCCATTGATGGACACTGACATTGTTTCCATCTTCTTCTATTGTGAATAGTGCTACAATGAACAGAGGTGTACATATGTCTGTTTGTGTCTCTTTTATTAAGTCTCTGGGGTATATACCTTGGAGTGGGATTGCTGGATCATAAGGTATTTCTATTTCTAGTTTTTTGTGGAAGCACCATACTGTTTTCCATAGTGGTTGTACCATTTTACAGTCCCACTAGCAGTGCATAAGGGTTCCAATCTCCCCACATCCTCAACAGCATTTGTTTTTTTGTTTTTTTTAATCAGTGCCATTTTAGCAGGGGTGAGATGGTATCTTATTGTAGTTTTAATTTGCATCTATCTGACGGCTAATGATCGAGAGCATTTTTCATGTGTTTGTTGGCAGCTCGAATGTCTTCTTTGGCAAAGTGTTTATGTCCATTGCCCATTTTATAATTGGGTTGTTTGTCTTTTTGTTATTGAGTTGTTGAAATTTTCTATATATTTTAAAGATTAGACCCTTATCAGATATGTTGTTGCTAAAGATTTTTTCCCGGTCTGTAGGTTGTCTTTTTACTCTTTTGATAAAATATTTCATTTTATGAGGTCCTAGTTACCTAATTTGTCTTCTGCTGTTTGTGCATTTGTAGTTGTGATTAAGAATCTATTTTTGAAAAAAAGTTAGGTCCCATAGTTTTTCCCCTATGTTATCTGCCAGGAACTTTATAGTTTTAGCTTTAACATTTAGGTCTTTGATCCATTTTGAGTTAGTTTTTGAGTATGGTGTGAGGTATAGATCCTGTTTAATTTTTCTGCAAATGGATATCCATTTTTGCCAACACCGTTTGTTAGAGACTGTATCTTGCCCATTGAATGGACTTTGAGCTCTTGTCAAAAATCAGTTGTCCATAGATAGGTGTATTTATTTCTGGGTTTTCGATTCTATTCCACTGGTCTGTGTGTCCATCATTGAACCAGTACCAGGCCATTTGGATTACTATGGCCATAGAACTGTGAGGCCTCCTACTTTGTTCTTCTTCAGTATTGCTTTGGCTATTTGGACCTTTTTTCTTTCCATATAAAGTTTGAAACACTCAATTTTAAAAGGCAGAGAACTGTACATTTAAAAGCCAAAGATTAGTGAGTCTAATTTTTCATTTCTTTAAATTAAAAAGAAAAAAACCTATGCAATTGAAATTAGGGCTTGTATACTGCTTTCTATTAATTTAAAACATTCTTTAAAATGTCACACACACACACACACACACACACTCAAAAAAAAAAAAAAAAACCTAATAAAGCTTTAGTTCCTAATAGCAATGATTCGCTGTTGGTAAGAATCTATATAGGCATCTTCCGGCAATTTTTCAACCAAGCATTCTTGAATTAATGCTAATGAAAGCCGCCCTTGCTTATTTTTCTATATGAACACTGAAATTGCAGCTGCCCACCACGTCTGCTGAGGGATGAGTGTAATAATTTTCAATTGGCCCATGAGCCCAAAGGGAGCCCCGAGAGCAGGAGATTGACAGATGCAGCATGGATTATCTTGTGTGTGAACTCAGCCCAATTTGTGGTTTGTTGCAGGTGCTAAAGAGATTGATATTGCTGCGACCCTGGAGCACTTGAGGGACCAGAGACCAGGCATGGTCCAGACAAAGGTACTGTCAATCAATCCTCCGGGATCATAAATACATTATAGGTGTCTCCTGGCGGTTGTTTCATGAGGGAAGAGGGAGGAAGGAAGGATAAGGCTTAATTTAATGTTCGTCACTAGCTGATTTCTCTGCTTTGACTATCTTCCAGAACAGTCTTACTTCGGGTTAAGATGGATCTAGCCCCTTCCTAAGAGGTCTCCTGGTGTTTCCTGAAACAACTCTAACATTTTCAAAATAAATACATGCCCTAAAATCTCAAGTAGTTGAAACCCAGTTAATTGGAACTCCCCATTAACCAGATTCGTGGGAAGGGAAGAAATATCACATCTTTATAGGAAGAGGCAAATAATCAGATTCCTCCTAGGGAGAGGCCTGAGTTGGCCAAACCCCTGCCCAGCCTCCTGGGCTTCCCGCATCCACAGCCACAGCTCTCCTGTGGTGGCCATCAGGATGGTGGTCATCAGAATTGTCCGCAGAGTACACGAGGGTCTTTGAGCATCCAAAAATAGCTAATTTGCATACTTACTGAAAGGCCAAGTTATCAACTACAGGGATAAAAACAAAGGATTGCTGGTTAACCTCGAGTTAACCGAACGAGAAAAGTGGATAAATATCTGTGTCCAGCAACAACAAAAGCTTTCACATATCTGTACCTTACTCATTAAACCTGTTGCGCTCAAGTCGATTCCGACCCATGGCGAGCCTACAGGACAGAGTAGAACTGCCCTGTACAGTTTCCAAGGAGCAGCTGGTAGAGTCGAACTGCCAACGTTTTGGTTAGCAGCCATATCACTTAACCACTGCACCATCAGGACTCCATCTGTACCTTAAATGTACTTAAATCATAAAATATAAAATCTTATCTTTCTCAGTGCATCCTTGATACTCCTGATGCTTATAGTGCCTACACAAAAGACTTAAAACTGTTACAAGATACCCCTGATAAATTGCTTCTTTATGTGTAAGAGGATTTAAGGCTATGTTTTAATATGCACAGTGAATGACAAAGCACTACTGTTAAATCAAGCCGGTCAGAGAGGCCTTGACTGTATTTTGTGACACGGCAAGTCACCCAGCTCCTGGACAGGGTCTCATTGTTTCCCTTTATAAAATGGAAGCAATTCCCAAGCCCTCTCTTTCTGTCCAAATGTTCCACTGTAAGTACAGTGTTCGAGTTAGAAGGGAGAGAGGTGCTATCTAAATCCCAACAGTGAAGGGGCTAGGCAGGTTACAATGGGCACGTTCTGACCTGGAAGATCATTTCTGAAAATACCTTCTTAGAGCCTATGGGGCTGTTTCTACATTGCTGTTGTCAGCCCCAAGCATTCAGACAAAATTAACTTAATTCTCTTACAGAATCACAAAACAATTCTAAATAAAACCAGAAGAAACCCCTTAAAGAGGCAAGACTTTTATCCTGGCCTTGACCTGTCCAGCTAGAAATCACACCTTTCCCAGTCTTTCCTTCTTGTTGTTATTAGACCCATGTGCCATCATCTGAGGAGGGAAAGGTAGTTTAAATGTTACCGCAGGCAACACTAGCAATCAGCTCGCTGTGTGTTAGTTAACATCTCTGTTCCTCAGTTTCCATATTCCCTCTGCAGCCCATGGAATTGTTACAAAAATCTTATGTGATTATTGTGAAAGTGCTTTGTAAATCATTTAAAAAAAAAAAAAGTTGTCATCAGGTTGATCCTGACTCGTGGTGACCCCATGTTTGTCAAAGTAGAACTGTGCTCCATAGGGTTCTCAGTGGCTTCAGGAAGCAGATTACCAGGTCTTTCTTTCCTGGCGCCTCTGGGTGGACTTGAACCTGCAACCTTTCAGTTAGCAGTCAAGTGCATTAACCATTTGCACCACCCAGGGACTCCTTGTAAGTCACAGCACACATTTTATTTATTTATTTATTTATTTTTAAGTGAAATAGTTTTAGACTTTCAAAAACAGTTGCTGAAGCAACTCTCATATACTCTTTACCCAGGTCCCCCAAATGTTAACACCTTCAATAACCACAGTACAATGATCAAAACTAGGGAGTTAACATTGATGCAATACCATAACCAATCTACAGACCTGGGTCAAATCTCATCAGTTGTCTCACCAGTGATCTTTTTCAGGGTCAAGATCCAATCCAGGATCACCCATTGCATGCCTTTGTCATATCTCCTTAAACTCCTTTAATCTGGGACAGTTTTGATCGTGACACTTTTAAAGAAAATTCGCCTATTTTTAGCTGCTAACCAGAAGGTCGGCTGTTTGAATCTACCAGCTGCTCTTTGGAAACCCTATGGGCTAGTTCTACTCTGTCCTATAGGGTCACCATGAGTCAGAATTGACTTGACGGCAACGGGTTAACGGGTTAGCCAGTTTTTGTCGAACGTCTCTTGGTTTGGGTTTGTCTGATGTTTCCTCATGATGAAATTCAGGTGAAGAATCTGGGCAAGAATCGTACACAAGTGACGTTGTCTTTCAGTGCATCACATTGGGAGGCCCATGATGACGACATGTCTCATTACTAGTGACCTGCTACTTTGATTACAGTTAAGGGTGTGGCTGCCAGCTTTCTCCACTGTGAAGTTATTATTTTTCCTTTTATAATTAATAAGTATCTTTGGGAAAATACTTGAGACTGTAAATATCTGCTTGTTATCACAGTGTTGCCACAGAATGCTTTGTAAAGGTTATGAGGGCTATTAAGAGAGGAAGTAATTCAGGTGACAGCTGCTGAATCAGTGACAAGTGACCCACAGGTGTGTCCCATGGGATGGTGCATCTCATTGGCATGATCTTGTCTCTGTGCGGTGTCGACTGGTGGGAAGCAGGTGACCTTGTTAAGTCTCAGAGTGCAGGTCAGTTCCCTCCTTCGCTACTAGCCCTGAACCCCTGGGTTTTCTGGGCCTGAGAACCACCAGCATGCCCAGAGCTTCAGGTGGCTTTGAAGTGTGCCAGAAAAAGCTGTGAACACTAGAAGAACACGGACATTATGAGCAGAAATGATAAGCTTACTTCTGCCCCCGACAAATCTTGACTCCACATCTCCATCATTACCTACTATACAGATGTTGTTGTTAGCTGCTGTCGAGTCGGACCATTGTGATTCATAAGGTTTTCACTGGCTGATTTTTGGAAGTAGATCACCAGGTCTTTCTTCCTAGTCCATCTTCATCTGGAAGCTTCAGTGAAATCTGTTCAGCATCATGGCAACACATAAGCCTCCACTGACAGATGGGTGGTGGCTGCACATGAGGCCCATTGGCTGGGAGTTGAACCCAGGTCTCCTATGTGGAAGGCAAGAATTCTACCACTGAACCACCCCTGCCCCTCAAATTTAGGTAATTTCCAAAAAGTCTTAGATTCCAAACTAGTTCCTTCTCTCTTTGCCTCTATGTACATCTGAGAGATGGTACAAGTAGGCCCAAAGAATATGAACTGACTTTAGTATTGATCTAGGCACAGTCATTAGGAAGGCATATCTTCTTGTCAAAAAAGAAAGGAATTGCCTCATGCATTGCCAGGGGAACACTGCTCAGCCCTCTGCTGCTGGCGTTCTGTTTGCCCAGGCAAGTCCTTCTTAACACACTACCGCTGAAGCCAGGAAGTGGGCACCTGAGACCCTGCCTAAGGTCAAGTGCTTTGGGAATCATCAAAGACAGAGTGAGCTACAATCATAATTATGTGTCATGTATTTAATAATACTCTTAATTTTTTTAGTTGTGAATTGACAAAATTTATGTAATGTGTATAATGTGGCACTATCCGCCAGATTATTTGGCAGACTAAAACCCCAATTCCCTGACGCCTCCAGGTAACAGAGAATCTGTCTGATATGTAACTTAGGTTTGGGAGTGGTTATCTATAGGGATTTACCTCTTCCTTAGGTTGGGTTTTTAAAGTTGACTTTCTACAAATATGTACATAAATTTAGTTTGAAATTTTAAGGTCTAAGAAATAGTGAATATATCCAAGTCACCATTCTCTCCTAACTCATTACTGCTTTGCTCAGCATTACCCTGTGAGATTGCTGACTTCCCCTTGAAGTTCAGTAACACAAAAAAGATAGAAAAATTATTTGAGCAAAGTAAACCAGATGCTATTTGTCATGGATTGAATTATGTCCCCCCAAAAATGTGTTTAACAAGTTGGCTGAGCCATGAGTCCCAGTATTGTGTGATTGTCCTCCATTTTGTGATTATAGTTTTATGTTAAGAAGATTAGGGTGGGATTGTACAACACCCTTACTAAAGTCACATCCCTGATCCAATGTAAAGGGACTTTCCCTGGGGTGTGGCCTGTACCCACTTTTTATCTTATAAGAGATAAAAGGAAAGGGAGGCAAGTGGAGAGTTGGGGACCTCATACCACCAAGAAAGCAGTGCCGGGTGTAGAGCGTGTCCTTTGGACCCAAGGTTCCTGCACTGAGATGCTCCCAGACCAAGGGAAGACTGATGCATCAGAAGGACCTTCCTCCAGAGCCGATAGAGAGAAAGCCTTCCCCTGTAGCTGACTCCCTGAATTTGGACTTGTAGCCTACTAGACTGTGAGACAATAAATTTGTCTTTGTCAAAGCCATCCACTTGTGGAATTTCTGTTACAGCAGCACTAGATGACTAAGACACTATCAGATGGATTCCAATTCATGGTGACCCCATGTGTGTCAGAGTAGAATTGTGTTCCACAGGATTTTCAATGGCTGATGTTTCAGAAGTGGATCACCAGGCCTTTCTCCCAAGGCGCTTCTGGGTGGAATAGAACCACCAACATTTCAGTTAGCAGCTGAGCATGTTAATTGTTTGCACAGGGACTCTAGTTGGCAAAGTGGTACCGTGCAGTTTGAGTACTCCTTTCTCCAAGCCAAGAGAAGAGAATCTACAGTCCGTTCGTTTTTTATAAATTTAATCAAGTCACATAATGTTTAACTGGATACAAGTAAGGACCAATTAAGACCATGCACCTAGGACAGGGTAGAGCCTCCTGACACCTTGAGAGCACTTTGAGAAAAGGAT